GTGGAGGACCTCTAGTGACTCCCATTGTCAGACAGCTTTGATATTTCATCTGTTGTGCAGGAATTGACAAACGTTCAATACAAAGAAGGACTCGGGGCCCATGTGCAACAATGTTGTCGTGTTTGTTTTGTGCATTGAAGCCCATCATGCCAAACCAGCACGATCCAGTGCACTGTGCCTGGGCAACACATGCGTACAAATGCATTGCAGTGCAGGTGCGTTGGTATAAACTGTATATGGGCCTTGGGGGGTGGGGTTTGGCGGTCATTCAAAATGAACACACATGCAGCGCGTTTTCACGTGCGTTACTGTGTGCATAGCTGTGAATCCAGCCTAACAGCTATCACGCATAGTATAAAGCAGGGGTGGGCAACCTCAGCACTCCAGTTGTTGTGGAACTACAAGTCCCATGAAGCGTTGCAAGCCTCTGACAGCTACAGGCATGACATCCAGAGGCATGATGGGATTTGTGGTTTCATCACAGCTGGAGCACCAAGGTTACCTACCGCTGGTTTAAAGGGGACCTGTCAGTACAGAAGGGATTTGTCACAAGCAAAATACCCAACCAGTCCTAGAGGAGGCCATTGTCCTACTCTTGGTTTGCAGAAAGTGTACACAATGGTTCCCGCCTGTGTGAGAGCAGTGTGTACAGAAAGCTTTCCGCAAGCTGTGATGAAGCCTTTAAAACACCATTCAGAACCCGTATGTGGAAGGCTTAAAGGAGAACTACGGGGTTAAGTCTTTTCCCCATAGTTCTCCTTAGGGTAACGGGAGGACACAAACTAGCGTCCTCTCCTCACCCTAAGCTCAGTATACCGCGAGCTGTATACTGAGACGCCACAGCTGAAGCGGATCCTGACAATTATGTCTGGATCCACCCAGCTGCCTGACTGACAGCTGGCTCTGCCTATCTAGAGGCAGAGCCAGCTGTACCCGCCCCCTCCCCCGTCCGTTCCTCCAGTCAGCGCTGGCGGATCGGAGCGGGGAGGGGGGACCCCAGCCCCTCCACTGTCACGGCAGAGAGCTGTGACAGGATCGAGAAGTGAGCGAGCGCCGGTATGTGTTCGCTCACCTCCCGACCTACTGAGCCAACCTGTGACAGTCTCATTGTCACAGGTCGGCTAGAACTATGAGGTGAGTGAAAAGCACTCACCTCATAGTTCTCCTTTAACATAGATCAAGGATTGGCAACCTCGGTGCTCCAGTTGCTGTGGAACTAAAAGTCCCATGGAGCATTGCAAGTCTCTGACGGTCACAGGCATGACTCCCAGAGGCAGAGGGATGATGGCATTTGTATTGTCATCACAGCAGGAGCTGACACAGATCATAATGGTGGTGCTGTCCCTTTAAACAAGCAGCTAGCAGGCTTCAGCACTCCTTAAAGCTTGTTGAGTGCCTGCTGAAGCCTGCTAGCTGCTCGTATAAAGTGAACGTCAGCAATCTCATTCAGATCTGTGTATTACATTCCTATACTAGAGCTAAAATGTTCTTGAAAAGCTTCAACAAAGCTGCTCAAAGCTTGCCAAAATCTTGCTGCAGACACTACAGGCCGGGGCCCCTGTGAACAAGGCCTCGGGCACATGACGTACTGGCACATGAACTGGGCTCTCCAGTGACAGGCTAGCTCAGGGGTGGGCAACTCCGGCCCCCCAGCTGTGCTTTAACTACAAATCCCAATATGCCTCTGGGCGTCATGCCTGTAGCTGTCAGTCTTGCAAAGCCTCATGGGACTTGTAGTTCTACAACACCTGCAGGGCCGGAGTTGCCTACCCCTGGGCTAGCTCATCCAGCCAGTGATTGAGCGATGCATAGAAACGGCGATTCTTTGTCTGCTTTCTATAGTGATTTCTAGTGCGCCGTGGCCATTAGAGTGCCGTGTACATGAAGTCTCATTAACAAATCCTGAAAATTGTGTTACAAACACAAGATAACTGTGAACAAATTTCAGTCTTGCCGTTCCTACTCTTGTCCAGCAGGTGGCAGTCCTGAGCTTTAGTCTTGCTCCCATACACATGTATTATAAGCAGATCTGGTATTTGCATGCAATGATCAGTATAGGGCACAGGAAGCATTTAGATGCGACTTAATGAGGGAAGTATTAGTCTGCAGTCTTACCGACGTCTCAAGTTATTTACATTCAGCCATACAGACGCCTCTCCTCCTAATGTCCTCAGTCACAGCCAATACAATGACAGCTGACTGGGCCTTGGGCATTGCAGGCATGCTTTGCTTGTGTCATTCTCCTATGCAGGTTGCCAACCAACTAGAAATGTAGGGACTGTTCACCAAAGGGAGTCTGACTGCTGCCGTCCCTACAACAATGACTAACAACGGGGATAACTAAAACTAATAAGCTCTCAACATGTTTTGTCTGCCTGTCGGGCTATGGTTCTGGCTTAAGCTATTGCTTGGCATTGCTATCAATCCCCCTATCCCTATAGACCTGTTGGCAAGGACTGCAAAACTAATGCCATGGCCTCGGTCACATGGCCAGTGGCAAAAGCTCCTGTCAGCAAGCTTCCATTTTAGAATGACAGCACTGTGTACTGCGTTAGAACCCTGATAAGCTGACTGTGCTGGTCCCGCCTCTCGCAGTCCCAGGGCTAATGTGCAGGGGATTTCAGGAAGCTAATATGAAGACAGATTCACCACCCATTGTAAGAATATCTGGATTACATTGCGGCCTTTTATTACCTTCCTGCAATTTAAATTTTAAGAGAATCTGTCACTTTGCCCATTCAGGGCAACAAGGACCTTCATAGCATCACCAACTATGATTTTCATGAAAAGCTAAATCAATAAAAACCTACCGGGGGTTCTCTATCCAAAATAAAACGGTTACATACACTTGAATGCCTCGTACGGCTGGACTGCAGGGAATTTGTATTCTATTGATTGCTTGGTCCATTGCTCATCCCATGGGGCCAGCTAATCTAGTTTTAAACTTACTAGGCGACTGCTAGTCTTCTCTCTGGTCCATTGAAGGACACAGGAAGTCATATACTGTCGGGTTATATTGCTACCCACAGGAGGATTTGATACTGGGGGGGGGGAATACGCTATGTCAATTTCTGTGTCCCTCAATGTACGAGAAAGAAAATATTAATTTAGTATTCACTGTAAAATCCTTTCCTTAGAAGCCATTGAAGGACACAAGAAGTCATACACTGTCAGGTTATACTGCCGCCTACAGCAGCATAAAAGGACAGCATATGACTTCCTGTGTCCCTCAATGGAAGGTGAGTACAAAAATCCTATTTTCTTTCTCATCCACCGAGGGACACAGGAAGTCACAAACTGTTGTTTTTTTTTGCTAGTGTCCAATCCTCCTGTAGGCAGAAGTATATCCCGACAGGATTTGACGTCCTGTGTCCCTCCAATTAATCCAAGAAAAGGATTTTATGGTGAGTGCATTCTTGTCCTTTGAGGTACACAGGAAGTCATATACTGTTGCTTTTTTTAGAGTCTAATCCTCCTGTAGGCAGCAGTATAACCCAACAGTATATGACCTCCTGTGTCCCTCAATAAACTCCAAGCAAAGGATCTTAAGGTGAGTACAAAAATCCTTCTTTTCTCAGCTTACCTTATCCTGATGCGTCCTCCTGGTAGTGTTCCAGTCCGTCCATTCTTCCATTGCCGAAGCAGCTGAGTTATTTGATCTGCACAGCCGATGGGTACCCGGTACCGCCCTGGTTCCAGCTGCACCGTCATACGAATTAAACACCACGGATGGTTTCCCGTCCGCCTCCCGCGTGGCTCTCCCTCTGATGCTCCGATTCATGCTGTCCAGTAGTGAGATGGGGCTAACAATGTGGCTTCCCCATAGCGAAACCTCAACATACAGCAGATAAAGGAAAGGAGGCCATGGCAACTTCTCCTTGTCGCTCCAAGTCCAATTTCCATCCAAGTTCACTGTCCAAGTGTGACTGGTTCAGCTTGGATGCTCCTATAGAGAGCTCAGGGATGAATTATTAACAAGACCCTTGGCTTGGGAGTGGATCAGCCTTTCAGGGTGACAAACACTCAATAATTCAGAGAAGTGCTAGCAATGCGGATTTGTATTCATTATAAAATCTGTCAACAGGACGACAGGCAGTGAATGGAGATCTCCAATGTCAGCGTACAAAGCTCCAGGCCAGGGAGGTCATCTGTAGTGAAGGATCGGGAGGTTGTTTTATGTGGTTAGGCTTGTGCATGGACAGGACAAATATTCCAGACGGTTGCGTGGGCATTGATTGGTTGGATCACCCGATTTTAAATGCCCCGCTCCAGGCAGAAAAGAAAACCTGGGGGGTACATTACGGGGTAAATGCTCGTTATGTTTTGGGGTATAAGCTGTAATACCGTATGGCTTGCTCTGACAGGCTACCTCCTTGCTGGCCCGCCAAAGCCTTTTCTCCAGGCTGGTAGTCACATGCTGACATCATCACATACCATGCAGGACCAATAGACCTGCAGTGCATGTGAGGATGATCAGTGCCAATCCCCAACCTGGAGCATCGGCACAGTGGGGAAGGTAGACATTGTCACCCAGGGCAAAGGCTCAGAGTTGCTCCCCCAGGGAGAAGTTCTCCATCCACACCCCTCCTAAACCCCCCCCCTTACAGGGCGTTGCTTTTTTTTTTGTACAAATTCCCTTTTTGGTTAAGTTTCGGATGGAGAGCGGAAGCCCCCTTTATTCAATGTTCATCTGTAAAATAAAGATTTTCCATGCACAGCAAACAAAATATAAAAGATATATAAATATAAACACATATGTAACACTTTTTATTTAAAAAGACCCAAAACCTTTACAATGCTCAGGTGGGATAAAGTGTGACAATGAAGTCATTCGCCTCCTGCAAATAAATGGCCGGATAGGCTGACCTGGACCTCCAGCACACACACCGTCTTGGGCAAAGACACTTGATTCACGGCCGGTCCTCCAGCACAATAAGTCAGGTTTATTATCACAAGTCCTATAAATGTAATCTTACATACAGTACATCACACACACATAATCAGAGGAACGTCGAGTGCTTGTACACCACGATCTCCAATCCTTGTCCGCACTGCACACACCAGTGTCCCCCATCCTCGCTCTGCCAGCAATCCAGCTCGGACACGTCGGCCACGTGACAGAACCTGGTGGCGAGATGCTGGAGGCCGTCCGAGCCGAGGTTCCACAGGGTCAGGCGCTGGTCCACCGAGGCTGAGGCCAGGAGGTCCTGCCGTAGGATGCGCAGGCCGGTGACGTGAGCAGCGTGCGCGGAGGTGACGGAGAATGATTGGAGCAGGCGGACGCATCCCGTCTGTCCGTCCTGAGATTGACCATCCGCATCCAGCTTACAGATATGGATGGAGTTGTCATCTCCCCCACTGGCCAGCAGGTAGTCACCCTCCGTCGTCTTTCGTATGTGGAGGCTGTTGATGCCACTCTGGTGAACGGAGAGGGTGGAGCGGGCCGATCCCAAGTCTGTAAGGATTAATGAATATATTACATGAGTGTTGTAGCACATGGAACTTGATTTGAGGAATACCTGGACTGCAGGAGAAGACAAAATGTTCACCTGATGTTACTTAATGAGGAAATTATGTCTGGGAACTGTGCCCACAAAATGCAAGTGGAGGGCAAAGGGCTCGTCACCATTATTGCCTTTGGGGCATGGAAATGCCCCGATACTAAATGCCGATCCCGGCGCTTTACATTTTTAAAGTGAAGCAGCTGCCTGATGTCCCGTGCGTGCTGGGGACCTGGTTACAGCGCCAACCCGTGCCTCTCCTCCTCCTTTCCAGGGAACCACGCAGCGCTTCCGCCACCCACACCTGCCCACGAGACCCTCCAAACCCCTGCTGAGACCCTTTGGATCCCCGCTGAGACCCTGCACAGACCTCCCGAGACCCCGCACAGCCCTCCAGAGGCCAGTGAGTACTTGAGGAAAAGTATCGGTACTCATACTCGGTCTTGAAAATAATGGCATTGTTGCATCCCGAATTAGTGGCCATCTTTGTTGATTCGCATCTGTTCTACACTATGTCTCTGTATGACGGTGGCCATTTTGGTAGAGGTGGGGCTTTGCTTCCTCATGTCAGAGCCTCCGGCAAGCAGAACAGTGAACCGCATCACCAAATCGCCTATAAATAGCAGTCAGAGGCAGCAGTGCCCTAGATCTCACACTGCAGATATACAGCTATGGGGCGACAGGAGTGCCTGAGATCTAACACTGCAGATATACAGCTATGAGGCTACTGGAGTGCCTGAGATCTCACACTGCAGATATACAGCTATGGGGCGACAGGAGTGCCTGAGTTCTAACACTGCAGATATACAGCTATGAGGCTACTGGAGTGCCTGAGATCTCACACTGCAGATATACAGCTATGAGGCGACAGGAGTGCCTGAGATCTCACACTGCAGATATACAGCTATGGGGCGACAGGATTGCTTTAGCACACTCACATACCAGGAAGTGCTCTGCTATTTTTCAGGAGTTATTCCTGATTTCCTGTTACTGGAAACCATCGCAGAGCAAAAGTGTGTGTGTTCAGCCATAGAGGTAGGTGAGATATATGGGTCCATGGAAAGCATCTATGGCAGGGTTAGGCAAACTCTCCATCTGTGGTGCAAAGTGAAAGGGGTCAGGGTAACGTCACGTGACAATTCTGGACACGAGCGGTGGCGATTTGGAAGTCACAGCGAACCTCAGTTGTTGAGATGGCCAAACGCTGACCGTCACGGTGCTCGGCTGGCCAGTAACGACGCTCAGCGTAACCTCCCGGCGGCCGTATGTCACAGATGTGTCCCGGATCGGATTCTCTCCCTTGTCAAAAGCCCGAGGAAATCATTCAGCGCCTCATGAATATGTAATGAGCCTCATTGACGTGCACGGATCAGCTGAAGTGCTCGACAACCTCGACAACACGACCGGCAGCCGCTATTATTACAGCGCTTAGCCGCTAATCTCTCCTCTTCACCTCACCATAGCAATCTCTCTGATGACCCAACTAATCCTCATCTCCTACAACCAGTATCACCAGAATCCGCATAACTAGAACTCACTCATGTACCACGGCTGGAGGAAATGAAGGAACACAATCAGCTTCCAGCAGCCATTGCTGCAGAACAGGTTGAAAAATGGAAGCTGGGATCCGATTGGTTGCTGGAGGCTCTCTGCTCTTCCTTTGAGCCCTTTGCTATGAAGCAAAGGACTGAAATAATCCTCATAGGAATGCAGCTTTCTAAACCAAGAGAACGGCCACTTACCTGAGGAAGGTATATTGTGAAATGAAACGTTTTACTGCCTTCCTGTCTCAGGAAACCGGAGCAGTTACAGTGTATGGAAACCCCAACAATGAATTTCTCTTATTTGGTTCCTTTTGGTCTCCGAAATATATCATAGAAAGTGTTTTCTTTTATCTGCTTAAAAGGAGAACTATGAGGTGAGTGCTTTTCACTCACCTCATAGTTCTAGCCGACCTGTGACAATGAGACTGTCACAGGTTGGCTCAGTAGATCGGGGAGGTGAGCGAACACATACCGGCGTTCGCTCACCTCTCGATCCTGTCACGGCTCTCTGCCGTGACAGGGGAGGGGCTGGATTCCCCCCCTCCCCGCTCCGATAGCGCTGACTGGCGGAACGGACGGGGGAGGGGGCGGGTACAGCTGGCTTTGCCTCTAGATAGGAAGAGCCAGCTGTCAGTCACGCAGCTGGGCGGATCCCGGCACAATTGTCGGGATCCGCTTCAGCTGCGGCATCTCAGTGTACTGGGAGCTGTAGCTCGCGGTATACTGAGCTTAGGGTGACGGGAGGACGCTAGTTTGTGTTCTCCCGTTACCCTAAGGAGAACTATGGGGAAAAGCCCTGACCCCATAGTTCTCCTTTAAGAAATTCTGAAAATGAATTATTGATCCTGCCAAAAAATAAATAAATTGTGAGCTGATAACTTCCTGTGCTCTCTCCATGCCTACGCTGACTGTTATCAGTTGTATTATTCTCAGCTACAAAACCACACCCCTCTATGTTATGGAGAACAGAAGGGATTGGTTCCATAGTGCTATTAGTGTCTGTTGTCCCGAAACAGTACTGAGTTAGTGTTGTCACCCTAGGGCAGGAAGTGTGTTACTGGCAGGGACACCAGGGGGTTCTGGGGGCTGCGCCCAGGTGAATGAGCACATATAGTACCTGGAAAAAAATACATGGAAGAAAGGGGAAAAGGTGGAGAGGACTCACCCTGAGGTTGGTCATCCGTGTATTCACCGTCAAGCATCTTCTGAGCGCATTCTACAGTGCTGGTTATATCCCAGAATGCAATGCGGCCATCAGTTGAGGCGCTGCATAGCCAGACTCTGAAGCAGAAAAGAAAAGCATATTACTGAATCTTTTAAACACATAAATGTGTCAGATAATGATAAAAACAAAGCCTATATGGGGGGTATTTATAACCAATTTGCAGAGCCATTCATCCTACGAATCTTTATGAATGGAAAAACAAACCTTCTTAGATATATTTTCTTTTCAGGTCGAATGTATGTAATGTTATACTGCAGTTTGGCCACTAGATGGAGCTGATGAGCAAAGAAAAAGGGTATATATTTCCTTATGCTCCTTCGCTCCATCTACTGGCCAAACCTCAGTATTACATCACGTACAGAACAAACATTCAGCAGGACTAATGGCTCAGCAAATAAAGTTATGAATAGACCTCTTAATGTGTGAGAAAACACAGGTACATGCAGAGGCGGTTTATTAATAAATACAGAAGGGGTTGGAGCGACACAAATACGGCTTCCCCACCACCAAGTGTGGATATGGGCAGGGCAGAGATCATGGTCACACAAGAGGTCAGGGGGGACAATCCCATGTTAAATTTCATCTCTACCTGTGAGAATCTGCAGATCGGTGTACAAATGCCTCCACTTTCAGCACACATCGCTGGTGATAAAAGGTCTCCGCCACAAGAATCATCCTCCGGAGATCCTCGCACATCATAAAGAACCTGAAAAAAAGAGAGAAGTATAAATCTTATATAATGTGTCTGAGATCAGACCGCAAATAAAAGGTTATGGACCAAAGATACATGGATACGTGGCTGGACACATGCACATCCATACAAGCACAGATGCAGACAGGCAGGCGGCGTCCAAGGGCATGCATCCGTACATGTAGGAATGTGTAAGTTCAGGTCGGCATGTTGCAGCGTCCTGTCATAGAGATATACGGGCAGCACTCTCACGGTCTCTCTCAGACACAGGCTTCTGCATTGGATGTGCGTGCTGTATGGCTCTGCATGTGAATGGTGAATGAGGCCTTAGGGTCTATATAATACATTCACTGCACTCTATATGTACCCACCTTACAGACCCGTCACTGCACTCTATATGTCCCCACCTTACAGACCCGTCACTGCACTCTATATGTCCCCACCTTACAGACCCGTCACTGCACTCTATATGTCCCCACCTTACAGACCCGTCACTGCACTCTATATGTCCCCACCTTACAGACCCGTCACTGCACTCTATATGTCCCCACCTTACAGACCCGTCACTGCACTCTATATGTCCCCACCTTACAGACCCGTCACTGCACTCTATATGTCCCCACCTTACAGACCCGTCACTGCACTCTATATGTCCCCACCTTACAGACCCGTCACTGCACTCTATATGTCCCCACCTTACAGACCCGTCACTGCACTCTATATGTCCCCACCTTACAGACCCGTCACTGCACTCTATATGTCCCCACCTTACAGACCCGTCACTGCACTCTATATGTCCCCACCTTACAGACCCGTCACTGCACTCTATATGTCCCCACCTTACAGACCCGTCACTGCACTCTATATGTCCCCACCTTACAGACCCGTCACTGCACTCTATATGTCCCCACCTTACAGACCCGTCACTGCACTCTATATGTCCCCACCTTACAGACCCGTCACTGCACTCTATATGTCCCCACCTTACAGACCCGTCACTGCACTCTATATGTCCCCACCTTACAGACCCGTCACTGCACTCTATATGTCCCCACCTTACAGACCCGTCACTGCACTCTATATGTCCCCACCTTACAGACCCGTCACTGCACTCTATATGTCCCCACCTTACAGACCCGTCACTGCACTCTATATGTCCCCACCTTACAGACCCGTCACTGCACTCTATATGTCCCCACCTTACAGACCCGTCACTGCACTCTATATGTCCCCACCTTACAGACCCGTCACTGCACTCTATATGTCCCCACCTTACAGACCCGTCACTGCACTCTATATGTCCCCACCTTACAGACCCGTCACTGCACTCTATATGTCCCCACCTTACAGACCCGTCACTGCACTCTATATGTCCCCACCTTACAGACCCGTCACTGCACTCTATATGTCCCCACCTTACAGACCCGTCACTGCACTCTATATGTCCCCACCTTACAGACCCGTCACTGCACTCTATATGTCCCCACCTTACAGACCCGTCACTGCACTCTATATGTCCCCACCTTACAGACCCGTCACTGCACTCTATATGTCCCCACCTTACAGACCCGTCACTGCACTCTATATGTCCCCACCTTACAGACCCGTCACTGCACTCTATATGTCCCCACCTTACAGACCCGTCACTGCACTCTATATGTCCCCACCTTACAGACCCGTCACTGCACTCTATATGTCCCCACCTTACAGACCCGTCACTGCACTCTATATGTCCCCACCTTACAGACCCGTCACTGCACTCTATATGTCCCCACCTTACAGACCCGTCACTGCACTCTATATGTCCCCACCTTACAGACCCGTCACTGCACTCTATATGTCCCCACCTTACAGACCCGTCACTGCACTCTATATGTCCCCACCTTACAGACCCGTCACTGCACTCTATATGTCCCCACCTTACAGACCCGTCACTGCACTCTATATGTCCCCACCTTACAGACCCGTCACTGCACTCTATATGTCCCCACCTTACAGACCCGTCACTGCACTCTATATGTCCCCACCTTACAGACCCGTCACTGCACTCTATATGTCCCCACCTTACAGACCCGTCACTGCACTCTATATGTCCCCACCTTACAGACCCGTCACTGCACTCTATATGTCCCCACCTTACAGACCCGTCACTGCACTCTATATGTCCCCACCTTACAGACCCGTCACTGCACTCTATATGTCCCCACCTTACAGACCCGTCACTGCACTCTATATGTCCCCACCTTACAGACCCGTCACTGCACTCTATATGTCCCCACCTTACAGACCCGTCACTGCACTCTATATGTCCCCACCTTACAGACCCGTCACTGCACTCTATATGTCCCCACCTTACAGACCCGTCACTGCACTCTATATGTCCCCACCTTACAGACCCGTCACTGCACTCTATATGTCCCCACCTTACAGACCCGTCACTGCACTCTATATGTCCCCACCTTACAGACCCGTCACTGCACTCTATATGTCCCCACCTTACAGACCCGTCACTGCACTCTATATGTCCCCACCTTACAGACCCGTCACTGCACTCTATATGTCCCCACCTTACAGACCCGTCACTGCACTCTATATGTCCCCACCTTACAGACCCGTCACTGCACTCTATATGTCCCCACCTTACAGACCCGTCACTGCACTCTATATGTCCCCACCTTACAGACCCGTCACTGCACTCTATATGTCCCCACCTTACAGACCCGTCACTGCACTCTATATGTCCCCACCTTACAGACCCGTCACTGCACTCTATATGTCCCCACCTTACAGACCCGTCACTGCACTCTATATGTCCCCACCTTACAGACCCGTCACTGCACTCTATATGTCCCCACCTTACAGACCCGTCACTGCACTCTATATGTCCCCACCTTACAGACCCGTCACTGCACTCTATATGTCCCCACCTTACAGACCCGTCACTGCACTCTATATGTCCCCACCTTACAGACCCGTCACTGCACTCTATATGTCCCCACCTTACAGACCCGTCACTGCACTCTATATGTCCCCACCTTACAGACCCGTCACTGCACTCTATATGTCCCCACCTTACAGACCCGTCACTGCACTCTATATGTCCCCACCTTACAGACCCGTCACTGCACTCTATATGTCCCCACCTTACAGACCCGTCACTGCACTCTATATGTCCCCACCTTACAGACCCGTCACTGCACTCTATATGTCCCCACCTTACAGACCCGTCACTGCACTCTATATGTCCCCACCTTACAGACCCGTCACTGCACTCTATATGTCCCCACCTTACAGACCCGTCACTGCACTCTATATGTCCCCACCTTACAGACCCGTCACTGCACTCTATATGTCCCCACCTTACAGACCCGTCACTGCACTCTATATGTCCCCACCTTACAGACCCGTCACTGCACTCTATATGTCCCCACCTTACAGACCCGTCACTGCACTCTATATGTCCCCACCTTACAGATCCGTCACTGCACTCTATATGTACCCACCTTACAGATCCGTCACTGCAGGCAGCTGCCAGGAAAAGACAAGCGGACGATGGGCCCAGCGCAGCGTCCTCCAGGGCTCGGATGGACATGTACCTGGCACAAGGCAGCAAGGGAAAGTTACAGGTTCAGTATTTCAACTATTGTTCTTTCTCTGATCATTGTTCACATTCGGATACAAATGTAATTCTGCAATGTAGTTCCTCTTTAAAGGAGAACTATGGGGTCAGGGCTTTTCCCCATAGTTCTCCTTAGGGTAACGGGAGGACACAAACTAGCGTCTTCCCGTCACCCTAAGCTCAGTATACCGCGAGCTGTATACTGAGATGCCGCAGCTGAAGCGGATCCTGACAATTATGTTTGGATCCGCCCAGCTGCGTGAGTGAGTGACTATACAAGGGCAGAGCCAGCTGTACCCGCCCCCTCCCACGTCCGTTCCGCCAGTCAGCGCTGGAGGATCGGAGCAGGGAGGGGGGAATCCAGAGAAGTGAGCGAACGCCGGTATGTGTTCGCTCACCTCCTGATCTACTGAGCCGAACTAATCTTCCTCTGCTGCAGTTTTACTTTCTCTTAGAGGTCTCCTTCCTACCCCTGTGACTGGACAATGAAAGGTGAAGCAGCAGACTGATAAGCTCATCTCCCTGTTACTCTGCTCTCTCCCCTTATCAGCCTGCTTCTTGCACTGCTTCTCCCTCCTCCTCTCTAGGCGCTGCTGTACAAAGACTACAAGAGGCTGATATCAAGTCTAATTCAGGTTCTTACATTTAACTATAATATGTTTAATGATGTATTAATGAATACAGAGCTGCGTTCATATGTCTCTTTTAAATCTCCCTGGAGTTTAGCTTTAAATACCACTCCCGGGATGGGAGTAAGAGAAGAAGTTCATTCGAATAAGCAGTCATTTGCTGGGACACATCATGATTGTGCAGTAGGAGCAGACTGCAGAATACTACAACATTGCTACTATGGGGAAGCAGCAGTCTATCTGCAGAGGTCAGAGAGAGAGAGCTTCCCATTCAGCAAGGAGCGCAGGTTTTGCTAACTGCAGAGCTATAGATCTGATTGACTTCTACAGAGAGCTTACTGCTTCCACACAGAGAGCAAGGGTCCTTCCCTACAGCATGCTGGCGGGGTATAGGCTTTTCTATTCAGGGTGTGGCTGCTTTCTAAAGAAAAGGAAGTCCTAGTATCTTGGCTGTCATGCTAATCTAGTAGCGTCAGTACTTTCTGAGGCACTGACCTTGAACAAGTATTCAGATCTGGAGTTTTGACTTCATTCTGACTTCCCAACATGTGTGCTTGTTACAGCTCAAGACCAAGTGTAACCCATCGCACTCCTGACCGGAAGGCCCAATAGAAGGGTGGGTGCCTCCGTAAATCATGTAAATTCAGGTAGAAAGTCACTTGCCCTCCAAAGTGATGCCAAGTCAATCTCTTTATTGGCTATGGTAGTGTAACATCTCAAAGCCAAAGCATAGTCAATAAAGAGATTGACTTGGCATTGCGAGTGACTTTCTACTTGAATTGACTTGTTCCAGTTGAGGACTGAAGACAGAAAGAGCCAGAGAACAAGTTTTCCTAATAGTTAGCAATGGAAGCCACCGTATTCTTGTCACTGGAGGTTTCCTTTCATAAAACATTCACCTGGTTTCCGGATCCACCTTAATCCTCCGATGCTTATTCTTCATCCTGTCCCAATGTTCGTCCAGCCTGTGGGAGGCCAAGTGAATGACCTGACACGTAACGCAGCCTACATCCTCCTGCGCTTGCACCAGAAGTCGGTAACACTCTATCTGTGCTCTACCCCCAGCAGTGAAGAGCACGCAGGAAAGGACGCCATTCTCCAATGGCTGCGATTTGGTTTTGGCCAAAGCCAATGTTCTCACACTGGACAGGTGGTCACTGATGGTTGAAAGTTGCCAAATCTCTTTTGAAACCTCATTAAAACCTAAGACGCTAACCGTGGTATCCTCACTGCTTGTGATCAGAACATGGACGCGGCTCTCTTTGAGTTTCACGTTTCCAGCATACTTAACGCAAGTCAATTCTCTGCCGTGCAGTGGCTCCTTTAGCACGCTTTGTACCTTCTCAGCTGGCTGGCTCTGGTAGGCAAGTATGTCGCCAGATTTGATGTAGGCAAAAACTTCACCAGGACCTTCCTTCTTGTAGCTCCAAGATCGGTGTCCTCCTCCGCAGGGAACACAATAAAGCTTCTCGTTGGTTTTCGTGCTCCAGACCACAAAGTCGGTGGAATGGAAGCCGAGGATCTGTAAGCTGCCGTCCGGCATAAAGGAGAGACGTTCGATCCATTCCATGCCCTTGCAGGACTTCAGTTTGCGGAGGACAATTAACTGGCCTCCTTCAACCTTCAGCTGACGATAAAGTCCATCACGGCCGGCGCTGTACACAAAGCCGTCATGGTAGATGACTGAGGTTACTCCTAGCTTGCCATGAATTCCATACAGTACAAACACTGGATCTTCAATTTGTTCTGGTGGATTGGACACAGTAGGAAGCAAGGATCCTTCCAGAGCAACCGAATCGACAGAGGAACCGGTAGATGGTGGACAATCACTTGGTAAAGACGTGGTCATTGCATGTTCACCATGACATATGCCAGCGACCTTCACCGAAAACAACATCAACGACCCTCTGCGATCGCCACAAACTATCACATTTTCGGTAGGCACAAAGGCTATGCTGGTGTGCCACCTCTGCTTGCAGGCGGGCATACTGAAACGACACTTCTCCGAGATGGATTTGACGTGGCCTGAAACACAGGTGACTTCGAGCCAAACCGTAACTCCATTGGGACCTGAACTGAAAAGGTGACACCGGTCTGGTGCCAAGCATGGTGACGGAACCCAGGTCAAGTTGTGGACTTTACCGTCATAAAGCCTAAGCTCTGGGCAATGGCCATCATGGGGCACCGAGAAGATCTTAACACCCCCTGCTATATTGCCAATGGCACACAGAACGTTCGTGGAAGATTTGAACACATCCAGGAGACTATATGAGCGATAGTTCTCATCCGCCAGGACGAAAGTCCATTGCTTGCTTAGGAGGTCATTCATGTATATGGAACCCACGTCCGTCATTACAACAAGACAGTTTGTATCTATCATTGCAATCGCCTTGGGAGCTCCGGTTCTTTCAGGGGCATTAAAATGTAAGTTTACAAGCCCATTAGATGAAGACGATCTGCCTTTTATTTGCCAAAGCCTAATACCAGAGTCTGCTCCGCCAGTCGCCACCCAACCGAGCTGGTCTTGGACAGCGACCGCCCTGATGCCGCGACCTTTGTGGCCTTTGAAGTTGTGAACAATGTCACCAGCGTAGCTCCAGACAATACAGGCCGAGTCTTCTCCAATGCTGACGATGTTCTCTTGGAGAAGCCTGACAGACCAAACCCGCGACTGGTGTCCATACAACACGAGAAGACACTGGACGTCAGATTCAGAGTCTGCAAGATCACCAACCTTCCACACCCGGAGGCTGCGGTCATCAGAAGCCGAGGCCAGCATCCCTTTCATATAGAAGATGCTAAATATCACACCATTGTGGCCGCTGATCCTTCTTCGAGGCTCCACTCTTCCTTCCTGGTCTGTTTGGTCGCACATCCCCCAAATAACCAGTTGGTTGAAAACAGTTCCGGAAATCAGAGTGAGCTCCTCCCAGGTTCGGCCCACAAAATGGGCAGAATACAAGATGCATTTCTCAGCGCAGTGTACTTCCTTCAAGACCCTCCCACTACGAAAATCATAAAGAGCCACAGAATTGTGGCCCAAGGCTAAGCCCAGGTAGGCCGCTGCTTGTGGGCCTTCGTGAAGCCACTGAGCATCCCATATCCAATCGTGAAGACGCCGAAGGGAACAGACTTCAGACAGGTGTACTTGTTGATCGGCGATGTTAAACTTCAGGATAACCAGCCCCTTGCTCCCAAACACACAAAGCTGGCACACGTCCTCTGCCCGGCATGATGTGGGAGTGGGCTTTATGCCGTGTATGGTGTAACCTCCGAGCACTGTTTGCTGAATCCTTGGTGGGTTAGCGCCGTTGGCTTTTAAACTGTAGACAGTTAGGTTGGGGCCCTCACCTGGAACACAAGAACGTAGATGTTGTTCACACTGAACATACTGCTGTTCAATGTATTATTATTATTCACATTTTTCTATTCATACTGTTATATTTTATATTTCACTATCTGCATGGAGTTTGGATGTTCTCCCTGTGCTTGCGTGGGAGAACATGCAAACTCCACGCTCCAAAGACATGCTGAAAGGTTAATTGGCCCTGTGCGCATGTGAAAAGGGACCTTAGATTGCAAGCTCCTTGAGGGCGGGGACTGATGTGAATGTGCACTATGTAAATTGTTGGCGCTATAGAAATACTAGGGATGCACCGATACCGTTTTTTGGTATTGAGTACCGATACTTTGCTTTCGGTACTCGTCGATTCCGAGTACTGATACCGATGCTTCCACAGGTATGGAGCCGGCTTCCCGGGCAATCTGATTGCTGAGATGCTGGCTCCATGTTGTCTGGCCGGCTTGATTGTGCTTGGCTGGGAAACAGGCTACCAAGCCAATCAGGAAACCGGGCGGCAAGTAATGACCCGCCTCCCAGCTTCCTGGTTGGCCAGGAACCCAATTTGATGCAAATCGGTTTCCCAGCCAATGAGCATCGCGCCGGCTGTTCTGCCAATCAGCATTGAGCCAGCTTCCTGGCCAATCAGGAAGCCGGGAGGCAGATCGTTACTCGCCGCCCAGCTTCCTGATTACACAGTCCCTACGGGACTGCCAGTCAGAGGAAATCTTCCTCTGACTGAAAGTTCCGGTATCAGGGAAGGTATCGGAGCATTTGGGCGAGTACCGATAATAAATAATAGGCTCATACCATTAGCCCCTTAAACCAATCAGAGCACGGTATAACCTCTTGTACCGATCATATTCGTTTAAAACAGAGACTGCAAAGGTATTCCAAGTTAAATTTCACGAATTCAGTAAAAAGAATAGAAAATAAAGTAAAAACATGTGTAAAAATGTTAAAAATTTCAATGATCATTAAGATAAGTATATGGAAAATTGTATTTCACTGCTATTTTGCACTTCTTCACATATTTATGAAATAGTTTTATTGAATGGTTATTCAATTTTTTATAGTTCACTTCGATATACTTAGTTTTATGGTTTTTATAGTGTGATATCTTGTTACATTTATTCACTTATCTTATTGAGGAATGTAGCTTTCCTTTTGATTGTTTGCACATCAGCACTTTTTCAGTCCTTTATGGACACCTGTTTTTTGGTACTTTATATTCATATTGGTAGGTTTTTTTGAAGACTTATACACAGGGTTGTCACTCATGTTTTGATCCATATATGTTCACATATTTTTATATTTATCTCAAACCTTTAGCGCTGTGACAACACTTTACACAATAAATAAATGTTATTTATCGGTTTGTCTTTTTACTCTTCCCCGGGACCCGAGTACCCATTTTTCCTTCCTTTCATGTACGACATGTTTTTTCCCAATAAGAATATCCTAAGAAGAATCTTATAACAAAAAATAAATAAACAATAAAACCAGCCAATGTCGCTGGTGTAAGACGAGGGCCCCATTAGAATGGGGATATGTTGCCCTCTGGCAGTGCAAAGGGCCATTTTTTAAGGCATTGGGAGCTGTGGGAAGAAGTGTGCGGCCAGTTCATGTCAGTCTATGGAGAGGCAAGAGGTGTGTGTGGCCTCTCTCTCCAGGTCTCTGGAAAGTGCTCGGGCCGGAATCCATCATGTCTGAGCGCACTGTCTAGGTGTGGCGGGTAAAACTTAGAAGCAGCGTGTGAGCGTGCACAGCTCCTGCGTCCCCACAGACTTATCTGAGGTGCCGGACTCTGGTAAGGAGTGTTCTACGTTTATCTGAGGTGCCCGCGCACTTCTTGCTGGCCCTTCACACTGTATAAACCGCTATCACAGGAAAGCAAAACCAAATCTTACCAGCAAGGAGATGGTCGCCCACAAACTCCAACGCAGTAATCGGGGCCACCAGCAGGACAGACTCCATCTTTAAGGCACATCAAACAGCTCTCCGATCAACCTAAAAATAACAGAACAGTCTATAACAAACAGGGGTAGGAAACCTTCGCAAACTACAAATACCATCATGCCTGTGGGTGTCAGAGTCTTGCAATGCCTCATGGGACCTGTAGCTCCACAACAGCTGGAGGGCCCAGGTTCTGGAGGGCCCACCCCTGATATATTATAATAATTTGCTTTGATAAAAGGCCAATCTACGCACATTTTTATGTTCATGTCTATGTCCCCATAAGGGAGATCTTTCCTCATTTCCTGTCTCTGTAACACCCATACAAGAAACGTAGGAGTGGTTGTCACCTAGACAATAAGGGGAAGATAGCAATAAAAACATCATCACCACCCTTCCTCATTTGTCTGCGCACAGCATGAGTAGCCAAACCTCGGCCCTCTAGCTGTGGTGAAATTACAACTCCCATCATGCATCTTGTTGGAAGTCATGTCGCTGTCAGAGTCTTGCAATGCCTAATGGGACTTGTAGTTGCACCACAGCTGAAGGGCCGGAGTTTGGCTACCCCTCATGCACAGGATGTAGAGACTTTTCACCACTTCCTATCCATACAGGAAGTGGGGAAAATCTCCCGATACTTGTGGGGGGGGGGGGATTTGTAGTTCCACAACAGCTGAAGTTTGCCCAGCCCGGTTCTAATAATGACAGGGTAAAACATTTTGACTGGAGTCCAATTTTAAAGGTCGGTTTAGGCAGCAGAGGCGCACCGAATACTGCCAGGAGGTGATATAGGTTTTATTTCATGGGAAGGTTTCCTTTCAATAGTAGGGTTGCCACCTTTTCTTCAAGCGAAACCCGAACACACTCTAGCGTCGCGCTGACATTTTTTGGGAGAATAAGTCGTAGATAATTCATATGTAAATAGCTCCGCCCATTCATATATAAATATCACAGTTGTGACTATTTTCAGTGAGGGGCCAGTAGCCTCTATTTTAATTTTGGTTACCCCTGTCTGCCAGACATCTTGTGTCCGGGTTTCTTCTGCCATGAAACCTGGACACAGAACTCAAAACCCGAACTGTCCGGGTGAATCCTGGACAGGTGGCAACCCTATTCGATAGACCAATATTTGCAGAGGCACGTCTGCCAGGTCCAGGGCCTGTACCTGGTAATCAGAGAAGGTAGGTCACTATAACCCCCCCCCCCCTTCAGGGGGAACAGACAAGCTGCAGTGGAATAATACATGGACCCAGAATTCCCTGCAATGGTGACAGGCTTGCTGAGACTAGTAGTCCCACACGCAGAGATCGCCGTGCACTGCTAAGGGCTGCACGCCTCTATCCTGAGGAGAACACACAGTAAATGTTCCTTCTACAGACACCGGACCCCAGCTGTACTGACAGCCCAGACAGAGGCGAGTATCGGTGAGGTATTTACATTTCCCTCACTTGCCAGTCCTTCCATACTCACACATGGCCCACAGCGCCACTTCCGCCCGGCTCAGGCCACGTGCTTCCTCCCCTCCCTCCAATCACAGAACAGGATACGCTCGCGGCGGCGATGGATGAACTCCTATTGGCTGTTCGAATGACTGACATGGAAGGGCGTTGATAGGCGACGCGATATCGCCTTCTCGAGTCGGATGACCTGCTCATAGATGAACTCCTATTGGCTCTTCGAATGACTGACATGTAAAAGCTCAGGGGAAGGCGTTGCTAGGCGACGTGGACTTCCTGCTTGGGCTTGATGACCTGCCATTGTCTCCATATAAATGAAGAGTCTGAAGTGTGAACAGAGAAAAAACAACAAAACGCTTTCAATGTCAATGAGAGTTAGCAAATAAGAGAAGTTTATTGCTGGGGTTTACATACACTTTAAGGAACCGCAGTGTCCAGATCAATAGGCTGCTGGTTCCTCTTGTGAATGCTGGTTGGATGTCATGCTGATCCAGCAACTTCATTATTTTCAGTCATATACTAAGAACAAGCTGCAGATTGTGAGTTCTGTGTACTGATGAAGCACGCAGCCGCTGGCATGACTGAGTCCTCAGACTTCACCTCTGAGGGCCCTCCCCCCTCACTTGGGGGAGATTTCTTCTCACTTCCTGTAGTGTCTTCTGGACAGGAAGTGAAAGAAAACCTCCTCAACGGAACAGCAGAAGAAATCTAACACAAGTTCTAACTAGGGATGCACCGATACCAAGTTCCGTACTCGGCACAAGTACATTTACAGATACTTTTCCAGCGTCAGGACTAGAGAAAAATTCAAAAGTTAGGAGGCAGCTGTCATTTGTAAGGAGCACACGGAGCTCCCGGGATTTGTACATCTCTGTTTTAATGTATGATTTTGTGTTTATACATATATATAAACTATATTGCCAAAAGTATTGGGACGTCGGCATTTACACGCATTTACACTTTAATGACATCCCAGTCTTAGTGATGGGCTCGGGCGTGATCACAAGAGCCTCGTGCCGAGCCCGCCAGGAAGCTGTCAGCGGGAAGGGCCAATCACAGGCACTGAGACATTTCCCGATCTCTGCAGCTGCGGACCGGGAACATGTCTCAGTGCCTGTGATTGGCCCTGCGCGCTGACAGCTTCCTGGTGGGCTCAGCACAAGGCGCTTGTGAACATGCCCATGCCCATCACTACCCAGTCTTAGTCCGTAGGGTTCAGTATTGGGTTGGCTCCGCCCTTTGCCGCTATTGTGCCAGAGCCAGGTCCCAGCTGCAACCTCTGTAACCCTGGTGGTTCTCATGGAAATGCCAAGTATCGGCACTGGTATCGGTGCAACCCGAGTTCTAACCATTCCATAGTCTATGAGAAACGTTCGGCTTTATATAAACATTTTTCTCTGGTGTTGTTTTCTCGATACATTTCCTTTTATGATTTGGATTGTGTTTGGAATAAAATATCACTTTGCATTCTTAAAGCTGAACTCCGGCCTTCCCTTCAGTCCTGAAGTTCTCAAGAACTGCTCTGCTCCTCACTACTCTGTGATGACATCACTGGATATAAAATAAAATAAAAAATGGGGGAGGGGGAGGAGCAATTGAAGGTAAAATATAAGCAGATTGAACTTTATCTTTCATTAGTGACGGAAGAAAATAAATCGGAGACGTGACAATCATCGATATGTAAACAATGTTTATTTCCCATCAGACAGCGGACAGCGAGATGTACTAAACACCGGACTACATGAGGTGCAAATAAATAACAATTCATAACGGAACGTCGGAGCACAAAACCTGAGACGTGGAAACACAGGACGCGGCGGTGAGTGGGTCTTGTTCATTCACAAAGTCCCGCCTCCAGAATATACAATCATCAGATTGGACGGTGTGCAGACTGTACAGGAGGCTTCAGGATATCTGTATACAACATAACAGAATGTACTACAGAACCGGGACCAAGCTACCGGGCCACAAGTCTCCCAAAGCCCAACTCCGGGGACAGTCAATGGAGGAAGCTTCATACATTCCCTTGTCCTAGGGCCACGTTTACCCAGCCAGCATGTGGACTGGGGTCTGTGTGTGCCAGTGGTAGGGAGCGGTGCCTCAGGGGCAAAGCAAGGCTCTTGTTACCTTTTTTCTTTTTTTACTTTATTGAAATGTAAAATTTTCTATGCAACTTGCATAGAAAACGAAGGACAGAGATACCTGATGTGGAAAAATGCAGACATGCTGCATTCTTACACAACTCTCTGCTCCCCCACTACTCTGCTTCACACTACTCTGCTCCTCTCTGCTTCACACTACTCTGCTCCTCTCTGCTTCACACTACCCTGCTCCTCTCTGCTTCACACTACTCTGCTCCTCTCTGCTTCACACTACTCTGCTCCTCTCTGCTTCACACTACTCTGCTCCTCTCTGCTTCACACTAC